GGCGGGCACTCACAACGTGAGGGAGGCGGTTACGTGGAGCGACGACGGTGGTGGTGGGAGGAGAGAGGGTTGTGTTTGGATGAGCGTGAAAGCCGTTGCCAAACAAACAATTGTTTGGCAATGGGCTTGCGCCAAACAAACCGGATTCTGGTTGCATTCCGTTTTTGCCAATCCGGGGACCATTCCGGTCACAATTCCGGAATGCCGAAATTCCGCCGGAATGGTGAAGCACCAGAATGATGAAAAGAGCAGGCCTCCCTGCTAAATTTCACTCCTCCGGAATCCACCGGAATCCGCAGGAATGACCGGAATCCTGCAGGAATTAGGGGGGCACTGATAAGACCTCTGTTTTTGATGACATTCAAAACAAGGGAGTGACAAGAAATTACAATACAAAGCCAAGCAAGAAATCCCATGGTGCACTGAAATCTGCCTACAAATTTCACACTAACTTTAAAAATGTTGAATCTTAGGTAGGATACTCACAAGATTTATAAAAGTAACTTACTGATGCCTTTTTAAGATTCTTCAAGTTAATGAATCACATTTAGTTGCAACAATCATACATGCTAAACTTGAAGCTCTCGATGAAGCCCAGAATGCCCTGGAACAGGAAGAAAGTGAGAAGATAAACTTGTTTGGCAGCCAACATACATCTCTTGGTTCTCCACAATACTTATCACTCCTCCACCTATTCCTACCAGACTCCCAGAGTCCAGTAGGATTCCTACTGGATTCCTACTGGATTTCAACATTCTTTCCAAAAAAGCATTTTCACATTCCCCTCCTACTGGACCCCTACTGGACTCCTACTGGACTCCAACTGGGCTCCTACTGGGCTCCTACTGGACTCCAATTGAACTTAAACAAAGTGAATGCAATGTTTCAGAGATGGGATTCCTACTGGAGTAACCACTTTCTATCTCAACATTTTATGAAGTCAGACCTTAGGCCACCTTAGAAGTTCAGATAAAAAATATTATATTGATAACTATAGACATAATTATATACAAAAAGTATTT